GGTCACAGCATGTGGGTTCAAATAGAAAAGATAATGATGGGTTCGAAAGTGGGCACTCAACTGAAAATCACTAATTGCATTTCTGCATACGAAGAATTTAAGGCTAAAGAAGGTGAAAGTCTTGATGATGTTTACCACAGGCTTGCCAGACTGCTAAATGAACTGATAAAGAATGGAATTTCTAAAACTACAATAGAGATTAATGTTAAGTTTCTTAACAATCTTCAGTCAGAGTGGAAACCATTTGCCAATCATATCAGATTCAATAAATAGTTATCTGATATTGATTTTCATGAAATTTATGAAACGCTGAAACAAAACGAGCAAGATGTTTTGGAAATCCGAAATGCTAAGAAGAAAGAAAAGGAAGTTGCTGATCCTTTGTCTCTTGTATCTGAGAGAAAGGAGAAGAAATCTAAAAGCAGATCTGGAAAGCAAGTGAAGGAAGTTAGTCAGTCAAGTGAGTCTGAAATAGAAGGTAGTAACAGCTCAGATTCAGATTCTGAAATTTCAGAGATCAAACAAGTAATGACAATGCTGACTAAGGCATTCCAGAAGAAGTTCTCGAAAAGGCCACACTCGAACAATCAGAGATTCTCGTCTGGTTCAAAATATGAATACAAAGACAAGTTTGGCGAGAAGAAGTATGAAGAGAAAAGATTCGAGAAGAAATATGAGAAAAAGCCGGAAGAAAAGAAGAATCAAAGGGACAGCTGATGAAAATACAAAGTGCTATAATTGTGGTAAGTTAGGCCACTTTGCTATAAACTGTAGGAATCCGGTAAATTGCGATACCGACTACTACAAGAATAAATTTCTTCTATCCAAACAAAGAGATGCCGGCAAAGCTCTTATGGCTGAGGACGAACACTGGTTGAATCTTACTGATGAAGAAGAAGAAAYTGAAGHTGTTGCACATGTGTGCTTGATGGCTAAAACAGAAAATGATTTGTCAGGAGCAGAAGAAGAATAGATGAATGATGAGGTATTACATCAATCATGCATTAAACAGATGAAAAAGATGATGCTTAAAATTCAAACTTTCCAGCAAGAATTAAAATCAGAAAAATTGCGTTCAAATAATGTTGAAGATCTATTAAAAACGCTAAAAGAAAGATATACCAAAGTATATATTGAAAATGCTGGAACTTGAATTGGGCTAAGTCTTTGCAATCTGAGTCCGAAATTCTTGATGAATCATCCAATGCTTTAAAAGCCGAATTATCTGAATTAAAGGAAAAATATAAATCATTAGCTTTAGTTAATGAAGAACAAGTTGTCAAAATAAGTAAGCTTGATTTAAAAATAATTCAGTTAAATAAAACTTTGAAGGATAAAGAAAAAATTTTATATAAAAGAGGACAAACTGATCAAACCATCTTTTTAAACAAACCATCTGAAACAAGGTTTTTTAACCCTTGGGAAGGGCTGGGATATGAAAATCCTAAATTTTTAGAAAAAGCTTTACGTTATGCCCCGACCTTATATAATTCTCAATATATTTTTTGTGATCCCGAGTATTCAGTAAAATTTACAAAATCTTCTGACGAGGTTGAACAAAAAGAAGATCTAAATCGTCAAAGAAAAGACAAGATGCAAGTT